GGGGGGGGGGGGGGGGGAGATGGGAACAGCAGGGGAGCACAAAAAGGAGGCGGAGCTGAGCAGGGATGGGGCGGGGCTGCTGCCGCTGCAGACTCACAGATGTAGGTGCTCAGGAGGCGCCTGCTGAACTCGGAGCTGTAGCTGGTGGCTGAGGAGCTGGTCTCTGAGAGAGAGAAGTCCTGCTATGGCCGCAGCGGCAGCCTGGACCCTTTCTGGCCTCCCCTCAGCCCCAGGGGCAGCAGAGGGCAGGTGGGGAGGGGCCTCTGCGCCTTCCTTCCCCTGGCTGCTGGGACAGAGGGAGCTGGGGGCAGAGCTGGTGTCCGTGGGCTCAGCTCCCGCCCGCTGCATGGAGCGCTGCCTCGGACTCTTTCTGGAGCCCAGGGCCAGCTCCTCTGTGGTGCCAGGGTGGCCCATGGTCAGCAGGAAGGCTGGCAGGACCTCCAACGCCCGCCCCCTGCTGGTGGCATCCAGGCCCACCTATCCCATCTGTCAGGATGGGAGTCAGAATGGGCTCCATGGCCTCCCCCTTCCCCACGTCCCACCTCCTCTACGGTGCGCTGCTGTACAGAGGGGACCTGCCTACACAGAGCGAGGGCCAAGGTGGGGCGAGGGCGGGCAGGCAGGAGCTGGCTGGGCTGGAGGGAGTCCCAGGTGCTGGGGACAGCAGGACGCTGCCTGGGTAACCTCAGAGACGGAAAGTGGCCATGAGGGAGCTGTGAGAGCGGGAAGCACCTGAAGGGACCATGTACCCTCTGACCCCTACTCCCCAACAGGTCCTGAGTCTGTCAGGGGCCTCTGTCCCCAGGGAACCTCACTCCCGGGGCTTCAAGAGGGAGGATGGGGCTGCAGAGCCCTGCCGCTTACCTCGGGGGTCTAAAGGAATATTGTATGTGTCCCCAAGAACTACGGAGTGAAAAGCAGTGCGACAGGGGAAGGAGGGAGACAAAGACGGGAGAAAGATGCAAAGTGCAAAAACAGGTTAGAAACAGCTGTGTCCTCCCATCAAGCAGACCGCTCCCCACGACGGCCAGGACAGACAGCAGGACACACCCAAGCCAGACCCGCAGGGACCAGGGAGCACGCAGGAAAGTGGAGGCCCGAGAGCCACAGGCCGAGGCTGCCCTGGCTCTGTGCCCGCTGATGGGGGAGCGGGGGTCCGGGGCCCAGACATGCCGGGCTGGGTCTCAGTGCTTGCAACGGCTGGAAAGGCGTGTACCCTCCTGTGCCAACCTCAGGAAGATACCAGGCTGCCCCCGAGATGCCAGCCTCCCAGTGTCCACTGTGTGAGACTCATGGGGGGGACAGGCGAGCACAGAGAAGGGGGAGGAATCTGGACGGAGGGCCGGCAGGAAGAGTGCCCTCCAGAGGGAGCCTAGGGGCAGAGGTCCGGTGGGAAAGGCAGTCAAACCCGCTCTCCTGACGCTCAGCCCTGAGGGCCCGGCTCAGGGTCCTGCCATAGGCCACGTCTCCACCCCACTGCACAGGCTGGAGTTGATCCCACCAGAGGCGGCAGTGCCGCTGGGGGCCTAACCCCACATCTCCAGGCAAGAGGGAGGAGGGGGGCATGGAGCTGGGGGCCCCGCTGGGAGGGGCCAAGTACCTTGGGAGGCCAGCATGGCACCTGCCGTCTCCTGGAAGTCCAGCAGCTGCTGCAGGAAAAGGATGGCCTGTGTGGGGAAGGGGCCAGGAAGGTCAAGGCAGGACAGAGGCCAGGTCCCGCCCACCGCACACCCGGTGTGACAGGGCACGTCCAGGGCCCGGGGCTGCCGAGTGAAAACGGTGGCTGCAAACTCTGATCCCACTTTGGGTTCGGGCTTCGAGGGCAGGCCAGGTCTGCTGAGGGTGCTCAGCACTTCGAGGTTCTGGTGAGGCCCCCCCCGCCCGCCCCGGGTCCCAGGCAGCACCTACATTGCTGGTGCTGGTGCCCCCTCACCCCCCGGGTCCCGGGCAGCACGTACGTTGCTGGTGAGCTCGTGCACGGTGCCGTCCTTGGGCATGTTGTACTCCTTGTCCGGGTCATTCTGTGGAAACAGCCACTCCCTGGAAGAGCTCCCAAGGAGGCCCCACCTCACCCAAGCCCCTCAGCCTGCTCCTGGCGCCACCTCTTGGCAGACAGGTGTCAGGACACCCTTAAGGCACAAAGGGGAGCAAGATGCACATGCCAGAAAACGGGGTGGGGGGGAGCCCCCAGAGAGGGAGGCAATGGGTGCTGACAGGAGTCATCCCTCCGGCAGACCCTACCCCCTGCCCACAGCCAGGTGGCCCTGCAGTGGGAGGAGGGAGATCACCTTGATGTTGTCCGCGAAGTCCTCCAGCGCTTTGGCACCAACGGTCTCCATGGAGGTGATGAGGCTGGGCAGCTTGTTCTTGGTGCTGGCGGCTGTCCCCTGAGCGGCACAGAGCGGCACAGCTGCCACTGTCCCCGCCGCCGGCAGGCGTGCAGCCCCTTCCTTCCAGCTGCTCCCCTGCCCTCCCCCAGGGGATGCCTCTGTCACCCTCCTCCCCACGCCCCCAAGCGCCCCGCCGACCACGTACCTGGAGCACCTGGTCGAACTCGGGCTTGGTCTGCTTGAGGTGCCGCAGGATGGGGAAGATGGCGAGCACTGCCGAGAAGTCGTGTCTAACGATGGCCTTCCGGGCAGCGGACACGATGTTCTCCCCCTCGAGCATCAGCCCCTCCAGTGCATCCTGAGGGTGAGGACACGGCTTAGGGGGCCAGAGGCGAGAGCTGGCTCCCAGGGGTGGTGAGGGCGCCCGGAGGGGTGAGGGGAGGCAGCGCGCTTCTGATGGGAGGTGCCGACCAGACACACCGCCAGGACAGATGCCCAGGACGCGGGGAGGCTACAGACCACAGGCACGGCCCGCTGCGGTGACAGCTCTGTAAGCCCTGGCCCGGGCGGGGCAGCACCTGGATCAGGGAGTCGAAGGTCTTCTTCTGATGGTGCTCGGGGATGACCTCCACCAGCAGCTGGTACTCGCTCTGCGCCAGCTTGACGAAGGCGCTGACGCAGTGGATGTAGGCGTCGGTCTCCACGTCCAGCATGTCGTCTCTCCCTGCGGGACAGCGGTGCGCTGAGCTGCTGGGCTGGAAACAGCCCTCTCCCTGCTGCGGGGTCCAGACTGGCCGCAGACGGGGAGGAGGGAGACTGTGCGGGCAGAGAGCTGAGGATGCCAGCAGGCCCCATGGGCTGAAGGGGAAATGGCTGGGTCCAGCCTTTGTCCTGGCTTCACTCTGAGCTCTGCCACGGGCGGGATTTATGGCCCAGAGTGCCAGGTGCGGGAGGTGTGGGCGACAGATAAAAGGGGAAGAGGAGGATCCCTAAATGGACTCCCTGGAGAGGGCATGGCCCCAGGATTGAGGAGTCCGGATTGTACGGAAAGAGGGCAGCTGGGGGGCAGGCGGCAGTGTCCACCAAGGAGACAGCCATCTCAGAAAACGCTGGGCCTACGAGGGCGGTGGCCAGCCCAGCCAGGCTTCCGGAACCTGTAGGAAGGCCCTGGGCGCCGGCCTATGAGGCCAGCTGGCCCGGGGTTAAAGTTTAAGAGGCAGCGTGAGCCCCAGAGAGGGAGGGCTCCTTGGCTATCAGCTGCCCCAGGAGGAGACTGGATCCCACTGCTGGAGGCTAGGGCAGGGGACCTAGTGCTATGCGCCCAGGGACGGGCTCCCGGGAGTCGGAGCTGTTGGTGAAGCCGGTGTCGGGCTCCCTGCCCTCCAGGGAGCACCTCCCCTCTCTGCCTGCCGTCCAAGGAGCAGCCACGTCTCCCCTTAGCCCGGGCCCCGAGAGCCGGGTGCACACTCCCAGCTGGAGGGCGGCAAGGAGACCTCGTGCCCGAAGGAGAGCGAGATGGAAGGAGAGAGCGACAGGTCTGGCCCATCCTCTGGGCCCTCTGGTGGCTGCTGGGAAGGCAGCGGCGGCTGCCCGCGGGCTGGGCTGGGCTGGGCTGCGTACTCACCGGCCAGCGGCCCGTGCTTGTCGTTCAGGGCCTCGGACAGGTGCTTAACTCGGAAATCATGCTGGTGACCTAGCGAGACGTCAGCCGCACAAACACAAGCAGCGTTTATCCAGGGGCCGGGCGGGCTGGCCCTCGGGGACCGGGAAGAAGCCCTCGATCTCCGGGAGGGTGTGAGGGGGGTGTTGGGGAGGGGCATTGGAGGGGCTCTGAGCCCCTCCTCTGCCACGGGCCACCCTGGGAACAGCCGTTTCAAGCCTGACTTGCAGCGCCAGGACCATCCCTGGGAGCTGGTTTCCCCAAGCCCGGAGGCCAAGAGAAAGCCGCGAGGCCAAGAAGAGTTGAGGGGCTTCTGGCAGCCGTGGAGCGGCTGATGCCTGGCCCCGGGGGGTGATCTTGCCGGACATGGGGAGACCCAGTTAGAGAATTGTCACTGCGAGGGACTGGGGGTTTCAAGCCTGACTTGCAGCGCCAGGACCATCCCTGGGAGCTGGTTTCCCCAAGCCCGGAGGCCAAGAGAAAGCCGCGAGGCCAAGAAGAGTTGAGGGGCTTCTGGCAGCCGTGGAGCGGCTGATGCCTGGCCCCGGGGGGTGATCTTGCCGGACATGGGGAGACCCAGTTAGAGAATTGTCACTGCGAGGGACTGGGGACAGCCTCCTTCTTGTCCCCAGCTATTCTTAGGG